CCTAAACCCTAAACCCTACTATACGCATCCGGTATCAGGACCCAGGATTGACAGGTCGAGAAGCTCACGGGTAGCAGGCAGCGCCAGGGTTTGGGTTTGTAGGCCCAGGCCAGAAGCATGAGTGCCCAAGCCCTGGAGCCTTTGAACCCTAGGGTTTAGGGTTTAGGGTTTAGGGTTTAGGGTTTAGGGTTTAGGGTTTAGGGTTTAGGGCTAGGGTTTAGGGTTGAGAGTTCCCCTAAATCCGACACACTAAACCCTACACACCCCCTCAACCCTTGAACTCTGCGAGCCCAAGCCCTGTAACCTCTAAGCCCGGATTCCTTGCACCCTAAGCCGACAGCCCTGAAGCCCTAAAGCTCACTAAAGCCTAAGCCCTGAACCCGAAACTCTAAATCTTAAACCCTAAACCCCAAACCCCAAACCCCAAACCCTAAACCCTAAACCCCACATCACCGAGGTGACGGCCATCTACCGCATCTCTCGGAATGGCGAGGAGGCACAGCTTTGTTTTTTTTCAGGGGTCCCTAAGAAGATTCCCAATATACGATCTTATGATTGATGGCCTTTAGGGTTTAGGGTTTAGGGTTTAGGGTTTAGGGTTTAGGGTTTAGGGTTTAGGGTTTAGGGTGTAGGATTGAGAGTTTAGGGTGTAGGGTTGAGGGTTGAGGGTTCAGGGTTCAGGGTTGGAGTGCTAGCTCGAAAGCAGCGCCGGGAGGTTCAGGCTCCGGGAAGTCGCAGCCCGAATTCGTCAAGGGCTGAGAAAGTGAACGCGGTCTAGGATTTAAGAGTCAGATTTTGTGGTTTTAGGATTTTGTGGTTTTAGGGCTTAGGATTTTGTGATTTTAGGGTTTCAAGGTTTTTGGGTTTTGGGGTTTTAGGGTTTTAGCGTTTTAGGGTTTCAGGGTTTCAGGGTTTCAGGTTTCAGACACACCCGATACCTGAGGCCTTCAAGGGCTCAGGGTTGAAGAGCGTGGGACTTGGGGAGGGGCTATACGTACTATTTCTTCATGGGACGTCAAGGAATGGTTTAGAGTTTGGGGTTCAGGGTTTAGGGTGTAGGGTTTAGGGTTTAGGGTGGTCTAGGGATTTCCAAGAATGCTTCAGGGAGCACTCGCCGATGTGCCAGGAACGCTTCAAGGATGTGGGCAATCGCCGGCTTATGTGGCACGGCCTCCCGCCGTCTGTTTAGGGTTTAGGGTTTAGGGTTTAGGGTTTAGGGTTTAGGGTTTAGGGTTTAGGGTTTAGGGTTTAGGGTTTAGGGTTTAGGGTCTAGGGTCTAGGGTTTAGGGTGTAGGGTTTAGGGTTTAGGGTTTAGGGTCTGTTCTGACCCGGAGCCCTGAGCCCTGAATCTTCGGCTAAGTAGCTGAGTAGGCAACCTTTAACCTTTTGTGGTATATGGAGTCCTACCATAATTTAAAGGTTAACCTCTTGTGGCTGGCCCAGAGTACTCAGCAACTAGGTCGGGTTAGGAAAAAAGCGATTTCCATAACTGTCATAAAAGGGAGCCCATTTCTTGGGCGTTCTGCGACTTCGGCTGTCCCATGATGAAGGAGGAATCCTTAGACTCTAACCGGGATCCAGATCCCTAAGCTTTAAATTTCAGGGCTTAGGGCTTAGGGTTCCTAAACCCGAAACCCTAAATCACCTAAATCCCCTAAGTAAGGGGGTATGGGAGAGTCTCTGCGCAAGAAGCCTTCGCAGCTCAATCTTTCTGAACCAACAATGGAAGCCTGCCACCGGGGGGGGGACTCTTAGACCCTAAGCTTTCCAAAACCCAGCTTAGGGTTTAGGGTTTAGGGTTTAGGGTTTAGGGTTTAGGGTTTAGGGTTTAGGGTTTAGGGTTTAGGGTTTAGGGTTTAGGTTTTTGTTGTCTTTCCATTGGGTTTAACAAGTTTTGGTGCGAGGGGCTTACGGCTTAGGCCTAGGGCTTCTCTAGAGCATAGCTTGCTAGGTTTGAGGTTTAGGGTTTAGGGTTTAGGGTTTAGGGTTTAGGGTCTAGGGTTTAGGGTTTAGGGTTTAGGGTTGAGGGTTTCTCTAGCGTTCTCGAGCCAAAAAAGCGCAGAATCTCGAGGCTCCCGGCGGTCCAACTTCGTCAGCATCCTCACGCAGGGGCTCCGCGTGGCTCCCCCTGAGGCACCGGTCTCGGGCAGCCTGGCTCATTTGGGGTTTAGGGTTTAATGAGGGTTCAGGGTTTAGGGATTCAGGAGGTGCGATTAGGGTTTAGGGTTTAGGGTTTAGGGTTTCAGGAGGTGTAATTAGGGTTTAGGGTTGAGGGTTCAGGCGCTTTAGGGTTTAGGGGGTTTAGGTTTTCAGGTTTAGGGTTAGGGTTTAGGGCTTCAGGGAGTTGCGGGGGTTTAGAGATTTAGGGGGTTAGGGGTTTAGGGTTAGAGTTTTTGGGGGACTTAGGCTTTAGGGGCTGTAGGGGCTGGTTTAGGGGTTCAGGTTTCGTGGTTCAGGGTTTGGGATCCTGTGTCTTGATAGGGTGCAGGGAGCTGAAGGGTTTAGGGTGTATTGGGCTACATATGGTGCCCCTAAACCCAAACCCTAAACCCTAAAGCCCAAACCAAGCCCTAAACCAAAACGCTCAAGCCTCACCCTAAACCCTAAACCCTAAACCCTAAACCCTAAACCCTAAACCCTAAACCCTAAACCCTAAACCCTAAACCCTAAACCCTAAACCCTAAACCCTAAACCCTAAACCCTAAACCCTAAGCAGTCCCGGGACCGTAAGCCAAACCCGAAGAGCCCCCCAGAAACCCGAATTCCGATGGGTTCAGGGTTTTAAGGTTTAGGGTTTAGGGCTGTTAGGGCTTTGATAGGGTTTAGGGCTTCAAGGGCTTGTTTTGGGGTTTAGGCCTTTTAGAGTTACTTCAAGGTTTGGGTTTTCTAGTTTTTTGGATTTGGGGCACAAGGTTCCGGGAGACCCCAGGACAAATGTCCCATATAGGGGCCTGCGCAGGGTTTAGGGTTTAGGGTTTAGGGTTTAGGGTTTCGGGTTTCGGGTTTCGGATTTCGGGTTTCGGGTTTCGGGTGTTTCGGGCCAGAAGCCTCGATGAATGCAGGGGATCTTAAGCTACATATAGCCAGGTCTCTAAACTAGGTCACTTTTTGGGGGTCCTACATACCGTCCGGCACTTCATAAAAATGATTCCCCCCCCCCCCCAAGAGACCCTAAACTAGAGAACTAGCCCATCTTCAGTGTGCTGGAATGGATCCTTATGGGCTTGGGGGCTTTTGATGGGGTCGAGGGTCAGAGCCCAGAGCTCTATACACCCGAAACCCCAAACCCGAAACCCCAAACCCTAAACCCTAAACCATCCTAAACCCTAAAACCCTAAAATAGACCTTCGACCCTACACTTTCAACTTTCATCCTGACCCCTGACCACCGAGGCTACATGTTCGGCGCCTGGGCCCAACAATGGAAGAACCATTTGGGAGGGTTTAGGGTTTCGGGTTTAGGGTTTAGGGTTTAGGGTTTAGGGCTTAGGGTGCAGGGCTTAGGGTTTAGGGCTGAAAGGTTCAGGGTTCAGGGATGTGATGCATCCATACGCGCCTCTGTGCGTGTGGGGGCTTGTGGCTTCGGGTGTTTGGGATTTATTGTTTATGATTATGATTATTATTATTATTATTATTATTATTTTAGGGGGGGGGGTGGAGGTTCATAGCTTGAAACTTTGGGCCGCTAAACCCCAAACCCTCAAGCCTGCACGGCAATCAGGCCTTCTTCGTACTTTAGCCCCTGAACTGAGGGCCCGGGAGAGGATGCCCTTGATAGCCCCGGTCAGTACCTTTCCTGGCTTCTCTAAACCCCAAACCCCAAACCCGAGACCCCAAACCCCAAACCCTAGACCCCAAACCCCAAACCCCAAACCCCAAACCCCAAACCCTAAACCCTAAACCCTAAACCCTAAACCCTAAACTCCCAAACCCTAAACCCTAAACCCTAAACCCTAAACCCTAAACCCTAACCTTCGAAAGCCTACGGAATGGAGTGTAGTCGAGCTTGCCGGCTTTGCCGAAGCCAGCTTGCCAAAACCATATCCATGGCGTCATGTCAGCCAATAAGCCGGACCCCAACCAAAGAATGTGGTGGTCCGAGCGCATTACAGGGAACACCCTAAACCCTTAACCCTTGACCCTTGACCCTAAACCTTTTAACCCTCAATAACCCTAAACCCCAAACCCTAAAGCCTAAAGCCCCTCACCAAACCTTGCACCGAACCAGGAAAGGGCATCTACTTCGCGGACATGTTCTCCAAATCCCGCGGCTACACAGCAGCGGGCGGCGGCGAGGCGGTGTACATGCTCCTGTGCGACGTGGCCTTGGGGAAGCTTTGGTCGGGTTTGAGAAGCCTTTTAGGGTGGTAGGGTTGAGGGTTCCGGGCCGTTGTCGCCCGATGTGTAAGATTTGTAGGGCTCGTTGCTGCTTGCTGAACCCAAAGCCCTAAACCCCAAACCCCAAACCCCAAACCCCAAACCCCAAACCCCAAACCCTAAACCCTAAACCCTAAACCCTAAACCCTAAACGTCCGGAGCCTTCATCTCAAATCCCCACCACAAGCAAGCCAAGGAACATGTTCCCGAGCCACCAAGCTCAGTACATGGAGCAGCCTCGTGAGGGAACCAACAGCACCTGGGGCGTAGGGAACCTCAGCCGCATTTTGGTTTAGGGTATTGGGTTTAGGGTTTAAGGCTTAGGATTTAGGGTTCAGGGTTTGGGGTTTAAGGTTTAGGGGTCAGTTCAAATCAATGCGGCCAGAGTTTTGAAGCCCGTATTTGCCTCTTACGTACCCTACAGAACCCAGGGCCCCGTACTTCCGAACTCAGTAACGAGGTGCGGGACCATGTGCAAATTTGGTCTGCTGTTTAGGGGGGGGGGGGGGGTCCTTCAACAGGAGGGTGTCCATCCTCTTGGCGAATGTGGGAGGGGCTGTTCGGCTCCCTACTCACCCTAAACCCGAAACCCTAAACCCAGTTTAACATGCCCCCGGGACCAACATGCGCTCCAAGAGGTTCAGCTCGGAAGGAAGACAACCCTCCACGATGAACCTCCCTACACCCTAAACCCCTCAACCCCTAAACCCCCCTAAACACTGAAACCCTGAAACCCTGAAACCCTGAAACCCTGAAACCCTGAAACCCTGAGACCTAAACCCTAAACCCTAAATAGACCCCTTTAGGGCCTCCAACACCCCGCCGAAGTTACCCTTAAGGGACATAATCCCTGCGTATGCACCTGAATAAGTCCCTCTATACCTAAGTAGCCCCCCTACATGACCCCTAAGGTCCCTTGCAAGGGTTTAGGGTTTAGGGTTTCGGGTTTAGGGTTTAGGGTTTAGGGTTTGGGGTTTGGGGTTTGGGGTTTGGGGTTTGGGGTTTGGGGTTTAGGGCTTCGTCCCTTGATACCCAGGGCCCACAACCCTGGGTGGGCAAACAGCATCTACGAGCCGGGTGGTGCACAGCTGCCGAAAACCGGCAAGGACACCGGGGGGGGGGCGGGGGGAGGGGAGGGGGAGGTTTTTCAAGTTTAGGGTTTAGGGTTTAGGGTTTAGGGTTTAGGGCTCGGGGGTTTCGGGTTTAGGGTTTGGGGTTAGAGGGTTCAGGCGGGTGACCGGGCAAGGGCTTGGGCTTGAGGGAGGCTAAGCCCGAACCCTGAAAATCCTAAACCCTATGCCCTGAACCTCCTAGCCCTAAACCCTGAACTTTAGGGTTTCGGGTTTAGGGTTTAGGGTTTAGGGTTTAGGGTTTAGGGTTTAGGGTTTAGGGTTTAGGGTTTAGGGTTTTCACCTCCTAGACCTGAAACCCAATTGCAAGGACGGGAGCGGAGGCTGCTTGGGCCACAACGAGTTCATCGTCTACGACCCGGCGCAGGCGCCGAAAAAAAAAAAAAAACACGGCTGGTTTAGGGTTTAGGGTTTAGGGTTTAGGGCTTAGGGCTTTGGGCTTAGTTAGGGTTTAGGGTTAGGAAACGCTAAACCTCTAAACCCTCAACCCTAAACCCTAAAGCTGCGCCAAGACCGACAGCAAACCCCAAAGACCTCTTGAAGGCTGAGCGGGGTTTGGGGTTTCGGGTTTACAGTTTAGGGTTTATGTTGTTTTGTTGGTCTCCTTTGGGGGGATGTGGTTTCGAATTCCAGGCTTCCCAGCTAGGCCCTACTTGGAGGTGGAGGTTCATGGTACTTATTAAAAACATTCTAACTGTACTTATGACCCACTTGTTGGCCCCTTAAAGCGCCCTAATATGGTTAGAAGTACAGTTATCGGTACAGTTAGAATTTGGTTAATAGTCCCATGAACCTCCAAGTAAGCCAAGAGCCCTGCACCCCCTCAATTATGTCGAGGGCTTTGGGTTTTGCCTAAACCCTAAACCCTAAACCCTAAACCCTAAACCCTAAAAGGGTTTTTCGGGCTTTGAGGTTTTAGGGCTTTAGGGTTTTCAGGGCCTTAAGGCTGAAGTGGTTGAAGGTGTATAAGGAGGGACCCCCAGAATGGACCCCTAATCTTATTCCCCTATAGAACCCCACCCAAGAAAAAAAACAGGGTTTAGGGTTTAGGGTTTAGGGTTTAGGGTTACTTCGAACATCCCCCTCTCTCGGCAGAGATACTCTGGGGTTGGGCACTCCAGGGACACTCTGGGGCTGGGCACTCCGGGAACAGTCTGGGGGTTGGGCACCAGGAAGACTCTACTCCAGGAAGCGGGGACACTTGGGGCACTCCACGGAGACTCTGGCGTTGGGCACTCCAGGGAGACTCTGGGGCTGGGCACTCCGGGTTGGGCACTCCAAGAACAGAAGAACTCCGGGGCGGGCACTCCAGGGGAGACTTGGGGCTGGGCACTCCAAAAGACTCCTGGGCACTCCGCGGACACTGTGGGTTGCGCACTCCAAGATAAACTCTCCAGGGAGAATGTGGGGCTGGGCAGAGAATCTGGGGTGGGCGCTCCGGAGACTCCTGGGGCTGGGCACTCCGGAGACACACTGGGTTGGGCACTCCAGACTCCAGGACACTCTGGGGTTTGGGCACTCAGGGACACTTTGACTTTAAGCACTCCATAATTGACCAGTGAGGACAAGAGTTCCGGGCAGAAGAGAAGAGTTGAGTTTAACATCTAACAACCCCACACCGAGGGCGGGGGGAAAAAAACACCGAAGCCCCGAAATAACCCCTAAGCCCGAAGGTCCCTTAGAAGGGTTTAGGGTTTAGGGTTTAGGGTTTAGGGTTTAGGGTTTAGGGTTTAGGGTTTAGGGTTTAGGGTCCCTCCCTTAGTGCCTTCAACAAGGCGTTGCAGGGTCCCCGGAGGTGAGAATGCGATACCTTGTCGAGCTCAACAACTTCGAGAGCCCCTCCTTAACTAGGCTTGGTTATCCCTAAACAGCCTTAATTCTGGGGGGAAGCTAGGAGGGGTAGTATAGAGGGAGGGGTAGGGAAACTCATGACTGAAGCCCTAAACCCTAAACCCCTAAACCCTAAACCCTAAACCCTAAACCCTAAACCCTAAACCCTAAACACAGGTGAGGATGCGATACCTTGTGGAGCTCAACAACTTCGAGAGTCCCTCGGAGAAGCTGGCCCGTGAGAAGAAGGAGGCAGAGGCTCGGGGTGCCTCGGCCGCCTTGCTTCAGGGTTCAGGGTTCAGGGTTCAGGGTTCAGGCTTCAGGGTTTAGGGTTTAGGATTTAGGGTTTAGGGTTTAGGGTTTAGGGTTTAGGGTTTAGGGTTCAGGGTTCAGGGTTCAGGGTTCAGGGCTTAGGGTTTAGGGTTTAGGGTTTAGGGTTGTTACGGTTTTCAGGCTCTAGTGGGCAGCAGACCTTACGTACAAGAGCTCTGCCCCCTTACCACCAATTCTACACCCCAAACTTACCTTAAGCATCTAACAGACACGAGCATGCTTAGCTGCTGTATGAAGCCCTCACCCCCCCCCCCACACACACACACACAAAATACATATGAAAAGAAGCATTAATAGTAGTAATCATAGTAGAAAAGCAAGAAGAGTACTAATAATGAGATCTGCTGAGGCGAGTCTCATCCAGCCAAGAAGTTCAAGCCGCCAACGCCGCCACCACAATCAGAGTCGGAGGAAGACGAGGAAGAGGATGAGGATTCGGACTGCTCTTAGACTGGGAGACCTGGTGCTTGCAAAGGGCCCCCCGCCAATATCCTGGGGGTTTCAGGGTTTCAGGGTTTTAGGGTTTTAGGGTTTAGTAGGGTTTGAAAATATCCGATTTCGGTGAAGAATATAGTCGAAACAGTCCTGTGTAGCAGGTCATCGGGGTACCAGAGATGTGCGCGTGGCTGACCAGGGTCACGCGCATCCGAGCTCGACGGTGCATGACCTGTACAGTAGTCCTGGCACCCTCGGCTCGTTTTAGCATCCACGCGCAGTCGTGGTTCGTGAGGGGGTCGCGATCACAAGGCCGCTCATCACCTGGCGAGCTTGCTCACCTTGATGTCGGCCAGCAAAGACCCTTATAAGGGGCCTTGAGTCGTACCACCCTAAGTTACCCCCGATATAGTTCGCCCTAAAAAGGCCCGAATGGAATGGCTTTGGTGGTCGCTGCCTCGCCACAGTTATTCGGTTTAGAAGCGCCCATAGCCCATCGCCCAAGGCTTTGGAAAACACTCCTTGGATCAGCGTGGTTGGCTGGTTTAGGGTTGGGGCCGTAGGGAGCTCACTAAACCCTAAACCCTAGCATACCCGATTCACTAGTTCGCTAGCAAGAATCAGTAGGCCCAAAGGGCAGGGCTTTGAAATCCGGGGTGCAGGTGCTTCATCTGTCTTTTCTCTACGCGAACACTTGAACCCTAAACCCAGAACCCTCAAATTCTGGCTGGTTCTTAGTAGGGCCCTACATAATCCTTCAAAGCGTATATACACAGGGCCCAAATTCCCTCATTCCCTTCTACGAAGAACCCGACAGAATTTAAGGGTTTCAGTTTGTGAGAAGGATCCTCGGGTATCCACGTCGTGAGATCGTCTGACGGTTCCTTGCGGACCCTTTGGGGGTGTAGGGTTTGGGGCTAAACCCTCAACCCTGAACCCTAAACCCTGAACCCTAAACCCTAAACCCTGAACCCTCAACCCTGAACCCTAATCCCTTGTTGGGGTGTTGGGCTTGGGGTTAGGGGATGTTGCTGTGGGCTTGAGGCTTGCCTGCCAAACCCTGAACCCTAAACCCTAAACCCTAAACCCTAAAAACCCTAAACCCTAAAAACCCAAAAAAAACCCAAAAAAAAACCAAACCCTAAACCCTAGATCGCAGCTCTCTCTCTCTCTCTCTCTCTCTCTCTCTCTCTTGCCCCAAGCTCTAGCTCTGCCCTGGTTGCTTTCAGCTCGCCCTCCGCCATGGCGCCCATGAGCCAGCCGATGAGCCAGCCCATTACCGAAGAGGCCCGAGACCCCAAACTTTAGGGTTTAGGGTTTAGGGTTTAGGATTTAGGGTTTAGGGTTTAGGGTTCAGGGTTCAGGGTTTAGGGTTTGCCCTAACGCAAGGAAAGCAGCAGGGAACCGAGATCTCTCTTGGAGCAGCCTTATTCCCCCCCCTGCAGGGGGCTCCATTCTGGCTGTTTGAGGGTTTCAGCGTTTGAGGGTTCAAGGTCGGGATGTTCCCTGTTATACTAGTCCTTAACGGGGATTGTATTAGGGGTGGGGGGGGGTAACTATAATCCCGATGAAGGACTGTTAGAACAAGGGGAAACATCCCAAGTTCAAGGCTTGAGGGCTAAAGGGTTTCAGGGTTGAAGGGTTGAAGGGTTTCAGGGTTTCGGGGTTCACACACTGGTGCTCACAAAGGAGCTAAGCTGAGGAGGGTTTAGGGTTTAGGGTTTAGGGTTTCGAGTTTAGGGTTTTGGGTTTAGGGTTTAGCCCCTCAGCCTTCTATGGCAGCTGAACGAGTGTTTAGGGTTCGGCGTGTGCAGACGTGCTAAGAAAGCCTTCTAGGATCGAGGCGACGCTTGAACCCTGAACCCCCGGTAAAGGATGCAACGCATACCTATACTCTGAAATCCAAACCCTGAAACTAAACCCCCGAACCCCTACACCTCAAACTCTGCAAATCCCTGGGCCCTAAAGTCTAGACCCTGAACCCTAAACCCTCAAACCCTAACACCCTAAAACCCTAAACCCCTAAAACTAAAATCCTAACACCATCACCCTAAACCCCCAAATTCCTAAACCCTCCCCCTGCAACGACCCGGAGGGGCCCACAGTCGCTATCTTCAACGTGGCGATGATCGGGCACGTGAATCCGACCTTCGCGCTGATCCAGGACAGGGCTGGTGGACTTGGGGAGGCTTTTGGGGTTTCGGGTTTAGGCTTTAGGGTTTAGGGTTTAGGGTTTAGGGTTTAGGGTTTAGGGTTTAGGGTTTAGGGTTTAGGCTCTTTGGTTTTGGGGAGGGCTTTCCAGGCACTTCTTCAAGCACGGCTTTGTTGGCTTTAGCTGGTCCATCTGGAACCTGAGTCCTAAGCCCCTAAAGCCCTAAGCAAAAATGGGCACCCTTTTTAAGCCTAGGTTACTGGGCAGCCTAGATAAACGAAACGGAACTCTGAACAGCTGAGAACAGCAAGCCGTGCCAGTGTCCCATACCCTTTAACATCCCCCAATGCCGATCAACCCTCTAAAGTCTACCAAGCCCCGCAAAAACCCTGTAGTGTCTCGGGTCAGGATTAAGGGTTTAGGGTTTGGGGTTTGGGGTTTAGGGTTTAGGGTTTAGGTGTCAGGGTTTAGGGTTTAGGGTTTTGGGTTCATGGTTCAGCGTTTAGGGTTTTACTCCCTAACCCTCTCAAGGAGCTCCGCAAACGCAACTGCAAGGTCCACTACTTCCTGCCGTTGGCTTGCAGCTTCAAGCACCCCAAACCCCTGAACCCTACAAACCCTAAACCTAACCCTAAACCCTGTAAACCCTATCAACTCTATCAACCCTATCAACCCTATAGACCCTATAAACCCTGTAAACCCTATAGACCCTATAAACCCTAAACCCTATAGACCCCTATAAACCCCATGAAAAACCCTATAAACCCCTGTAAACCCTGTAAACCCTGTAAACCCTAGCAACCCTAAACCCTAAACCCTAAACCCTAAACCCTAAACCCTAAACCCTAAACCCTAAACCCTAAACCCTAAACCCTAAACCCTAAACCCTAAACCCAACCCTATAAACACTAGAAACCTAAAACCCAAACCCTAGGGTTTCGAAACCTGGCGGGAGATGCACTCCGAGGTCTTGATTTCATGGGGTTCAGTGTTTAAGGTTTAGGGTTTAGGGTTTAGGGTTTAGGGTTTAGGGTTTAGGGTTAGGGGTTAGGGGTTAGGGGTTAGGGGTTAGGGGTTAGGGTTTAGGGTTTATGGTTTAGGGTTTACGGTTTTTTCGGTGCGTGTATATAGGATTCCTGAAGTATATTTGTGAGTGTATTGTGCACACAGACTATTTGGTTATTTGGTATTCGGATTTAAAGGGGCGATGGGAGGCTTACGTTAGGATACTCGACTCCGCCCTAGAGCAGCAGTCCCTGACACTCCACTAGAGGACATGTAGCTTACTCTGGCGTATTCCGTTTCCTTATACTGCACGAACTATATATCGGAGGACACATATTCCAACTAAAATAGGCCTCGTCACTCTACGCATAACTAGGGAGCCCCCCTCCTGAAGATAGCAAACGACGTTCACTATCAAAACCTGCAAACTACAAGGGCATTGTACCCCCATGGTTGTTTCTGGACGAATTCCCCAAGTACCCTTTAGAGCAAAACCCTGAACCCCTAAACCCTAAACCCTAGAAAGCAGGGGCCTTACAATCACCAAGGCGTAAGCAACCCACAAATTCCTTGAGCAACCGCCAGTACAACAGCCATCGCAAGAAGAAGAAGAAGAAGAAGCCTAGCTAGGGACCAGGGTTTAGTGTTTACAGGGTTTGGGTGTGGGGTTTATAACTTTCGCTTCGATCATCCAGCCCAAAGCTAAGCGCGAGGAGAATGGCTGACTTGAAATCTAACAACCCCAGTGGGGAACAACTTGAAACCCTTCAACGCCGTCAATTGCCTCAAATGCCCCTAAACCCTAAACCCTAAACCCTAAACCCTAAACCCTAAACCCTAAACCCCAAACCCTCCTCGGAAATCTCAGGCCTCCGGTTTCTTCCATCCGCGCCGCCGCCGTCGAGTCTGGGGCGGTCTGCGAAGGCTACCTCCCAGAGGAGCCAGGGTTTAGGGTTTAAGGTTTAGGGTTAGGGTTTAGGGTTTAGGGTTTAGGGTTTAGGGTTTAGGGTTTAGGGTTTAGGGTTTAGCGTTTAGCGTTTAGCGTTTAGGGTTTAGGGTTTAGGGTTTAGGGTTTAGGGTTTAGGGTTTAGGGTTTAGGGTTTAGGGTTTAGGGGTTTTGCTAGGACCCCCCAAATACCCCCCAGAATCGGGGCCTCAGTGTACCTTCATGTGGGCATGTATCTTTGACGGCTATTTGGGGAGTCTCGGTAGGGGTTGGGGTTAGAGCCCTAAAGCCTATACCCTAAACCCGAAACCCTAAACCCTAAACCCTTCAGGTTTCCCTCAAACTAGGACCCAGCAGACTTTGTCATGGAGAAATGCGGCATTGACGAGCCGATGCAGCTGGGCTTTGGTTTGAAGTTTTGTTGGTTTGTGTTACGGGTTTAGGGTTCCGGGCTTGGGGTGTTAGGGTTTCGGGTTTAGGGTTCAGGGTTTGGGGTTTCGGGTTTGGGGTTTAGGGCTTGGGGTTTCGGGGTTAGGGCTTAGGGTTTCGGGTTTGGGGGTTCAGGGTGTCGGGTTTAGGGTACTCCCAGTCCTCAATAGGGATGATAATCGGGGTACTACAATCCCTATTCAGGACTGTTAGTATACGAGTGAACATCCCAAGGTACAGCAATGAGGGTTTGTAGGGTTAGGTGTCTGGCTCTTGGCCGACGCTTGTCAAGGGACTGAAGGGACTCTTAGAAGGGACCTTAGGGGTTATTTAGGGGCTACTTAGGTATAGAATAAGATTGAGGGTCCCTTCTAGGGGTCAACCCTAAACCCTAAACCCTAAACCCTAAACCCTAAACCCTAAACCCTTTGCACCCCTTAAGCTTGCTCCTCGGCTTCTCTCCAGCGCTCAAGGTACCAGCCCGCGCAGGAGATCCTCGAGGAGGCCCTGCTTTAGGCACACACTGGTTCTTAGGGTTTAGGGTTTGCAGGGGTAGGGTAGTTTAGGGTTTAAGGTTTAGGGTTGAGGGAATCAGCGAAGCAGGGAATCAGGGAATCAGGGAATCAGGGAATTAGGGTTTAGGGCTTAGGGTTTGGGTTCTAGCTAGGTACCTTAACCATCTCCCCCTATATATCCCTGAGAGGAGATGATGGGGAATTTAGTAACCACTAAAAACCACAAAGTTGTGGGATGTGCGCAGCGCGCACACGCGCGGGTTGTTATGACTTGATACGTTCTAGGTTTCGTTTTGCGGGTTTTGGGGTTAGGGTATTCGGGGTGTTAAGAACCGGTCACTTAACCCTAAACCCCAAAACTCAACAACACCCAAAACCCAAGAAACCTAAACCCTAAACTGTAAACCCTAAACCCAGGATCGCGCTTTGTACGAGAGAGCCGTCTGGCCCCTGGCCACAGTCCTTCGTTGCGGCGAGCATGTGGTAGCCCGCTGCCGCCAGTCTCCTGCCGTTCTCAGAGTTTAGGGTTTAGGGTTTAGGGTTTAGGGTTTAGGGTTTAGGGGTGTAGGAACAGTTCAAGGAGTTTAGGATTTGGTTTACGGTTTGGGGAGTTTGCCGTTGTTTTTGTTTGGTCGCGTTTGGTTTCTAAACTCTTTTCTTCGAGGACAGTCTGCACACGTACCTGCTACCAGTCCTTCTGCATTCTGTCCTTGTTGGGGGGGGGGGGGTGGGGGTTCTGCTGTCCTCTGACTCACTTACGATATCTTGGGGGTACCTTATTGGGGGTCCTCATTATTATCAGGGAACCCTACTATGTGGGTGTCTAGATTAAGGGTCCCTGATTATCGCAAATCACCAGGTCTCCGTGACAGGGAGGTTGCCGAAGAATGGAGCACGGCTGAAATTTTATAGCAATCCCTAAGGCTCCATGTACCAACATAGTAGATACTTGGGCCTTAAAGGGGTTCCTACAAGGGTACCTTAAGGCCTAAGTATCTATTATAAGGGTACATGGAGCCTTAGGGAATGGACTGAAAAAGTTGGATTTTTCTTCTGCATCCGGAATAGGCTTCCGAAACCCTTCTGCCCTAGGACAAGCCACAGGCCTACCGGTTTAAGGGTTTAGGGTTAAGGGTTTAGGGTTTAGGGTTTAGGGTTTAGGGTACTATAAGGGCTTAGGGTTGAGGGCTACGTTTCAAGCCGGGCACAAACCCTGAGCCCCATGAGCCCGAAAGCCAAATCGAAACCCCGAGGAAAAAACCCAAACCCACTTCGTCAACCTTGTTGAAGCCTTACCCTAACCCTAGACCCTAAACCCTAAACCCTCAAGACAAAACAAGTACAAATTGCATGTGATACCAGTGTGAATTTCCCAAGTTGTTTGAGAAACAGCTGACAAGCTGAGTTTAAGTAAGTTGCGTAACCCAAAACCCCTTGGGCGATGCGCTCCCCCCCCCCCGCCCTTCCCCGCCGGCTTCGGCTTCCCCTTCACCCCAGCACCCCGCTCGCCCCCGCCCCTCCTCAAACCCGGCCACCCGCAAAAAATGTTGAAAGAATAGAACCCTAAACCCTAAACCGTATACCCTAAACCCTAAACCCTAAACAACGCGTTTCCTTGAAAGCTTTCGTTCAAAAGCGCGACATGGGTCCCCAAACTCTGTACAATTTCTCTAAACCCTAAACCCTACACGGCCGATACGTCCATTGAAGCCACGGTGCCCCGAGTAAGAGCCCTAAACCCTAAACCCTAAACCCTAAACCCTAAACCCTAAACCCTAAACCCTAAACCCTAAACCCTAAACCCTATACATCCTCACGGTGCCCCAGGCTGGGCGTCAGCGTGGTCCTCTACGACCCCTTCGAGCCCATGGGCCTCGTTGCTGCCTCCAACCTGGGGATTCCATGCGCGCCCAGGACGCAGAAGAGGGTTTAGGGTTTGGGGTTTAGGGTTTGGGGTTTAGGGTTTGGGGTTTAGGGTTTGGGGTTTAGGGTTTAGGGTTTCGGGTTTGGGGTTTAGGGTTTAGGGTTTAGGGTTTCGGGTTTGGGGTTTAGGGTTTGGGGTTTAGTGTTTCGGGTTTCGGGTTTGGGGTGTAGGGTGCATAGGGTTTAGGGTTTTAGGTCTGGGGTTTTCGGGGTTTGGGGGGTTCGGGTTTGGGGTTTAGGGTATTATTGGTGAGTGTATGAGATTTCCGCGGAGGGCTTAGGGTTTAGTGTGTCGGGTTTGGGGTTTAGGGTTTCGGGTTTGGGGTTTCGGGTTTGGGGTTAGGGTTTGGGGTTTAGTGTTTCGGGTTTGGGTTTGGGTTTAGGGTTTGGGGCTTGAGGTTTAGGGTTTAGGGCTCCTTCTCGGGAAAACAGGTCCCTGTATTATAATCTCTTGAAAGGGTAGCCCTACTAAGAGCAAGTCAGCAACGTGGGTCTGCGTTCAGGCTTTGAGGGTGAGAGGGTGGGGAGAAAGAAACCTGGCACCAATGAAAATTGTTGGACTGCATTGAAAACATGTGCCTTCGCGGGACATGCCGCCCCCCCCCCCCCCCCCAACCCCCTGGGTGCGTCGGGGCGCCATTTCCACATGGCATCTACTGCTGCTGCGCTGCGAGACGCCCCTAAACCCTAAACCCTAAGCCCTAAACCCCAAACCCTAAACCCTAGACCCCAAACCCTAAACCTTAACTAAGCCCGACACTCGAAACCGACCAAAAAGGCCTCCTTGGTCACCTATCCCGGCATGGGAAGTCTCTCCGACCTGATGTGCACGCTGGAGGCAAGGTTGCGCAGGGTTTTGGGTTTGGGGTTTAGGATGTTGGGTTTTAGGGTTGCTTTAGGGTTGAGTGTTCTGGGTCTTGGGGCTTCAGCCTAAACCTTAACCCCTAAAGGACGTTAATTTGTTTCTGTTGTTTTTGGGTTCCGGGTTTAGGGTTTAGGGTTTCTAGGACCCAGAGTAGGCCCTCATTCCCATTCGTGGGGGTTTAGGCTCCCTTATAGGCCCCTTTCACCCAAAAAGGGCACCCTCTTTATTCCTAGGTTACGCTTGGCTTTGCAAGCATTTTGGACCCCGCTAGGGTTTAGGGTTTAGGCCTTAGGGTTTGGGGTTTTAGGTTTAGGATCACCAGGGTCCTCAACAGTCCGGCAAGCTTGACTTCATAGCGGAGGCCCTTACTAAACAGTCCAGCAGCACGCCTTTTTGTGCGAACGATGGGCACGCAGAAGATTTCAACCTGATTGCGTGTCAGACTACAACCTTTGTAGGCCCTTGGGATATTATATATGTTCACGTATTGGGCTGAAAAGAGTCAGATGGTGAGTTCTCTAGAATATGGTCCCTTTTTGGGTGCCCTAAACATGAGGGGCCACCTTATCATCGCAACCCCACAAAAAGGGGACCTGAATTTGGAGACTAAACCCTAAACCCTAAACCCTAAACCCCCCAAACCCAAACTTTAAACCCTGAACCTTAACCCCTAAACCCTAAACCCTAAACCCTAAACCCTAAACCCTAAACCCTAAACCCTAAACCTTGCTACCCTTGAGAGGCCAAGGGCCGGCTGGCCTATGCCGCAAGCATCCGCGAGCCCTACGCCAAGGCCAAAACCGTCCGAGGCTTCTGGTTTTGTGAGGCTTGGGTTTTGGGAGCCTAGGGTTTTAGGGTTTAGGGTTTAGGGTTTAGGGTTTAGGGTTTAGGGTTTAGGGTTTAGGGTGTAAGGTCTCTTTAGGTTGTGGTATTTCGGGTTTTGGGATCAGGGGTAAGGCCTGCACCTGACACGGCTTCTTTGGTCAGTTCCGGGGCCACGGTCATGGTGGGCACAGTGGCTATAGCCTCACATAGATATAGACTGCATCGGTCTGCAGCTAACTTCGCAAGGGGCACGCCCTAAACCCTAAACCCTAAACCCTAAACCCTAAACCCCAGGAAGACTTGCCCGAGATGCCAGCTGCTCACGCTGCAGCGGGAACGATTGACAGGGGTCTGGGAAGGCCGGGTGGCTGCCCAAGGCCCTGCTGGAGTGAGGCAGCTGCCGCCCAGCTGAGGACCGATGCTTTCTGCGCGATCGGGGGGCGAGGCAGTGGTGCTTGGACCTCTTGCTGGAAGGATTCGAGGCCAGTGGCTTGAGATGTCGCTTCCAGCCTCGCGTGCCCTTGACCGGGCTTAACCTATGTTTGCCCTCAACTCACCAGAGATGGCAGTGGAAGTTGAAGGCCATACAGCTCCAATCTGTTTCTGCCGTCACGTCGACTTCAGCTTGCCTTCCCTAATACCCCCTAAACCGCTCTGCACAGCTTCTGGGTTGGTTTCTACGGTAAACACGCCAAACCCCATGTTTTGAACCGCAGTGCATACCACGCCCTAAACGTGAAGCCCCAGATCAGAAACTCTACGTCATGGAATCAACCTAAAATCCTAAACAATCCTAAACCCTAAACCCCAAGCTCTAAACCCTAAACCCCAGCCCCTAAACCCCTAACCCCTAAACCCCTAAACCCCTAAACCCCTAAACCCTAAACCCTAAACCCTAAACCCTAAACCCTAAACCCCTAAACCCCTAAACCCCTAAACCCTAAACCCTAAACCCTAAACCCTAAACCCTAAACCCTAAACCCTAAACCCTAAACCCTAAACCCTAAACCCTAAACCCTAAACCCTAAACCCTAAACCTCACCCCTCACTTTAGTGACTTGGCACCCGCGTGCGCAAAGGGGGGCCTTGGGATGAGAGTGTAGGAGCCCTAGGGCTAAGGGGGTGGCCCAAAAAACTCAGATCCTTAAACCCTAAACCCGAAACCCGAAACCCTAAACCCTAAACGCAGGCCATCCAAGACAAGTTTGGTGTGGACCTGTCTTGCCACTTCCTGACCCGGCGGCAGCTGCTGGGATTCCGAAACAAGGGGTGACAGTGTTTGCTGATCTTGGCAAGTGTCTAGAAATGAAGGAAAAACATTTTGGTCAGGATTTATATCATGAGCGGTTTGTCAAGATGCAGCAGCAAATCCAGATCCAGGTTCTACGCAAAGACGAATTTCGTCACCACATGCCACCTGGTCGGCAAAACAAAGGTCTTCGGCCGGGTTTAGGGTAACTTCGCAAGACCCTAAACCCTAAACCCTAAACCCTAAACCCTAAACCCTAAACCCTAAACCCTAAACCCTAAACTTCGCAAGAGCCTCCGTTGAATGCTTGAGGATTTATCTCAGGGGTCCGCCTTCTGAGGCGAAGACCTTGTGGCCGAGCTGCCACCGCCAGGACACTTTGCAGCAAACTTAGACACACCTTCCGTTTAGGATGTTGGGGTTTGGGGTTTAGGGTTTAGGCCTTAGGGCTGCAGATTTTTTAGGGGCTTGACTGAGAACTCTGACCCTGAGGGGAAGTCGAGCCCAACCGCAGAGACCCCACAAGCCCCAAGCCCCAGAACCCTAAACCCTAAACTCTGAACCCTAAACCCTAAACCCCAAACCCCAAACCCTAAACCCTAAACCCTAAACCCTAACCCTACATCCGAAACCCTAAACCCTGAATCCTAAACCCTAAACCCTAAACCCTAAACCCTAAACCCTAAACCCTCCTGACCCACAGCCCGAAGCCTTGAGGACAGCATGAGTGGGCCGACGAGCTGCGCCGTGAGTTCAGCTTCACCGCAGCACCTCCGGTTGCACAGAGAGTTTAGGGGTTTAGGGTTTTAGGGTTTAGGTTCAGAGTTTAGGGTTTACAGTAGGGTTTAGGGTTAGGGTTTAGGGTTTGGGGTTCAGGGTTTAGGGTTCAGGGTTTAGGGGGTTATGGCCTACTATTTTGTAGGGGCTTGGGAGTCAGAGGCCAAAGGACTCGAACCCTGCAACCCTTAGCTAGTAGGTGTTAGGGTTCGTGGGGTTTATAGCATTTGTGGGGTTTAATTATAATGTTTACAGAGTTTATGGGGCTCATAGGGTTTATGGGTGCAGGATAGACCTTATCGACTCTGTGGGGCGTGGGTATTCTAGACCCTTGGTTCTCTGATCGTCATCCTCTGCGTGCAAATGCCGATTCCCGAATCTGTTTCACCTGTTTGCTGAACGCCGTGTGATGTGGGCAGTTATCTAGATGATGCTCCCCGTTTAGGAACCCTGATTCTAAGGCTCCGTTGCTACAATAGGTATCCAACAAATGCTTACCGAATTGGCCGTCGGCCATGAAGATTCGGGGCCATGACCCTAAGAAGCCCTAAACCCTAAGCCCCAAAACCTAAACCCTAAACCCTAAGCCCTGCAAGTTGCTACAGCATAAATTCGGTTGCACCTACAAAGTTGTCGGTTTTGTCCCTAAATACCCTAAACCCTAAACCTCAAACCCTAACCCTAATTCCCAAACCCTAAACCCTTGACCCTAGACCCCAGACCCTGGACCCTAAACCCTAAACCCAAACCCTAAACCCTCAAGTGCTGCAGCCGTGCACGGAGGTCGGCTGCCTGGTCAGCGGCAGTGCGCCGCAACCATGGTTGCAAAACGAGAGGCTGTGATGCTAGAGGCTAGGGCTTGTTTTGATTTAAGGTTTAGGGCTTAAGGTTAGGTACCACTCTGTGGCCGAGTTTCCAACCCGCCGGGCAACTCAGATGACATATATGCATATATAGTAACTGTTTCAAGGTTCGTGTTTAGTGCGGGGCCATTTGCACCGTGCTCCTTCTCCTTCGTCGTGAAACCCTAAACCCTATGCCCTAAATCCTAAACCCTGAACCCTAAACCCCTGACAGGTCCGACAATCAATGACACTGCGACAGACGAGAGAAGAAATCACGGGCAAACCGCTCCGGTCTGCGATCAGACGGAACCTGGCAGACCCGCAACACTTGACACAATGCTCCCGCCCGTCCGATGGCCACAATGCCGCTTCCCGGACCACATTCTACGTGGTATGCTGGTTTAGGGTTGAGGGTTTAGGGTTTAGGGTTGAGGGTTTAGGGTTTAGGGTTTAGGGTTTAGGGTTTAGGGTTTAGGGTTTAGGGTTTAGGGTTTAGGGTTTAGGGTTTAGGGTTTAGGGTTTGGGCCTGGCGTCGCTGCTTGAAGTTCAGAGGCATGAATCAGCATAGTATTCGCTTGACGTGCGGCACATTGTGGACGCGTCTTCGCGTGGCTGCCGACTTCCAGGCACACATGAAGATGTGCGAGGAGTTGCTGAGGGTTCAAGGTTTAGGGTTTCGGGTTTAGGGTTAGGGTGTAGGGTTTAGGGGTCTAGGACAGGGCTTTCGGCGACCAAGACCCTCAACTCTAAACCCTAATCCGAAGCCCAAAGCACTTAGCCTGAAACCCCCAACCGGAAGCCCGAACAACCCCCACAATTCAGCCCCTAAACCCTAAGCCCTAGACCCTGAACATTCGACTGTTGAGGAGTCACGGCCTACAAGTTTTCAGTTGAAAGGTTTAGGGTTTAGGGTTTACGGTTTAGGGAAAGTTTAGAGCCTAAACCCTGAACCCTAAATAACCCTGAACCCTCTACGGTTGGTGAGTCATGGGATGCGTTTAGGAGCTCTGAAGGCTTTTGGGTGTTATGTATATGAGAGATTAGGGTTTCAACAAGGGGCTTTGGGTACTTGAATAGCACTAGGCTTTACGGCGTTTGTGTCTTTCACAGGGGTTTTTTTGGGAGGCATGGTTGGTGATAAAGGGTTCATCCAGGGGGGTGTAGGGTTTGGGTTTGGGGTTTGGGGCTTGGGGTCGGGCTTCCAAAAAAGCGGTATTCAGAGAAGTGTTTTGGGGGTTTCGTGTGTGTCGATTGGTGTTGATGTAGGGCGCCCTCGGTCAGCCCAGGAGGATGACCCCCGGGCTTTAGAAGGTCTTAGTAAGGAATCATGGAATCCCAAACCCGAAGCCCCAAGCCCTAAGCCCTCAACCCTAAACCCTCAACCCTAAACCCCAAACCCTAAACCCTAAACCCTAAACCCTAAACCCTTTAGAGGCCCCGAATGGGGTTCCTTGAAGGCCACGAATTAGGGCCCCCCCAAGGCACGTCATCAGCGCCCGGTCCGACAGCTTCATCCCGCGCGACTTGGAGAGGAGGTGAGGGTTTAGGGTTTAGGGTTTAGGGTTTAGGGTTTAGGGTTTAGGGTTTAGGGTTTAGGGTTTAGGGTTTAGGGTTTAGGGTTTAGGGTTTAGGGTTTAGGGTTTAGGGTTTAGGGTTTTAGAGGGTTTGGGGTGTGGGGTTTGGGGTTTAAGGTTAGGGCTGGGTCTTTGGTTTAAGGGATTTGGGTTTGGGATTGTAGGGGTTTGGGGTTCAGGGTCTGTGGTTTAGGGTTCAGGAGTTGGGGGTTAGGGTTTGGGCCTGGGTTTTGGATTTGGGGGTTTTGTGGTGTTGTGCTCAGAGTTTGGGGTTATGGGTTTAGAGTTTAGGGTTTGGGGCTTTGTGCTGGCAATCGCCTAAAACTTTGCACCAGGAAAAGCGGGTAGCCCCCCATGGGAGTACTTGGAAGCTCTTTTGAACTTAGTATCCCCTAGAAACCCGCTTCCAATCCCCTTAGCCCACCTTCCTAACCCTACACCCTACACAGCCTAAACCCTAAAACCCTAAAACCCTAAACCCTAAACCCTAAACCCTAGACCCTAGACCCTAAACCCTAAACCCTAAACCCTAAACCCTAAACCCTAAACCCTAAACCCTAAACCCTAAACCCTAAACCCTAAACCCTAAACCTAACCCCTAACCCTAAAACCCTAAACCCTAGACCCTAGACCCTAGACCCTAGACCCTAGACCCTAGACCCTAGACCCTAGACCCTAGACCCTAGAAACCTAAACCTAACCCTAACCCTAACCCTAACCCTAAACCCCCTAAACCCTAAACCCTAGACCCTAGACCCTAGACCCTAGACCCTAGACCCTAGACCCTAGACCCTAGACCCTAGACCCTAGACCCTAGACCCTAGACCCTAAACCAAACCCTACTTACGAAGTCAAAAGGGCTGCCAAGTGGCTGCAGCGGGAGGCATCGGCCTGAATAGGATCCCTACTTAGTAGGGCCTTGGATCCCTTCACCCCTGAGGCCCAAACCCCAAAACCTACATAGATCCCCGGTTTAGGGGTTTGGGTTTAGGGTTTAGGGTTTAGGGTTGAGGGTTGAGGGTTGAGGGTTTGGGGTTTAGGGTTTGGGGTTGTTCCAAACTTACTTACGTGTGATGTGGCTTGGTGGCCAGGTGTCGAGAGCCTTCTAGAACATCTACACCCACACCCTGAGCACCTGAACACTAAACCCTAAACCCCAAACACTAAACCCTAAACCCTAAACCCTAAACCCTAAACCCTTCTCAGCTCCTCCAAGAAATCCCAGGTGTCAAGAGCTTCGGCCACGCCTTACCCGTGCTGGAGCTCTCGGCAGGGCTGGCCAAGGGACGGAAGATCATCTACGCCGCCCTCGGCCCCCTGGCATCCTGTGTAGGGTTTTTAGGGCATAGGGGTTTAGGGCTTAGGGCTGAGGGCTGAGGGCTGAGGGTTTAGGGTTTAGGGTTTAGGGTTTAGGGTTTAGCGTTTAGGGTTTAGGGTTTAGGGTTTAGGGCCTTCAAATCCGTCGACCATGCAACATGTGGTCACTTCTCTAAATTAAATTATGGTCCTTTTAGGGGTTGCAACTTGGAGGCTCTTTTGACTTAGTAAGTCTACTTAGTATCCCCTAGAAGTCCTCTTAGAACCCCCATAGCCCACCTTACTAACCCTCCTCACTAAGTCAACAGGGCTTCCAAGTGTAATAAGGCGGCTACTAGTATTTAGATTACCCAAAAAGGGACTCTAATTTTGAGAATTGACCATGTGTGTTTATGCCGGTCCGGTTCCAAAGGCATGTAGCCTGAAGCCCTAAAGTTCCCACCTTTCTTAGGACCCAGAGTGGGCACTCGTGTTCTTTGTAGGTGGCATTTTTTCTTAGGTCTCCCTAGGTATTTTGGCGCCTACCAACATCCCCCCAAACCTCCCTAAACCCTAAATCCTAAACCCCCTTCCTTGTGCTTGAACCTCCTGCTGTCCCAATGTTTCCGGAAATCTTAGCGGCCTTCAGGGTTCAGGGCTTTTGGGTTCAGAGTTTTTTGGTTTGGGAAGTTTGGGTTCGGGATTTGTGCCTGGAGGATTTAGTGTTTAGGGTTTAGGGTTTAGGTCTTCAGGGGGTTCAGGATTTAGGGATGCGGGTTGTAGAAGATGCCCGAGGTTTCGGAGCTAGCCATACAGGGACTTAGTGCTTAGCAGGGGTTGAGTACGGGCGACTACAGCCCTTAACCCCAAGCCCTACATGCTCAACTCCAAGCCCGAATCCTGAACCCTAAGCTCTAAGCCCTATATAAACCGTCCAGAATCATTTTAAATCCCAAGAACATGAAACCCCTGAGCCCCTTGACCCTAGACTCCTGAGGCCTCAAATGCCCCCTCTTTGTGCTTGAAGGCTTAGGTTTTTGGGTGGGTTAGGATTTAGGGCTTAGGGTTTAGAGTTATACATATATACATATATACATATATATATATATAGGTTTTCGGGTGGGTTAGGATTTAGGGCATAGGGTTTAGAGTTATACATAGGTTTTAGGGTTGAAGGGAGCGAGGAGAAGCTCTCGACCCCTGCCAGAACCTTACAGCCCCAAAACCCGACAGCCTAAATACTCCAAATCTGAAGCCCTAAACCCTAAACCCTAAACCCCAAAACCCTAGCCCTAAACCCTAAACCCTAAACCCTAAACCCTAAACCCTAAACCCTAAACCCTAAACCCTAAACCCTAAACCCTAAACCCTAAACCCTAAACCCTAAACCCTAAACCCTAAACCCTAAACCCTAAACCCTAAACCCTAGCCCTAAACCCAAACCCTAAGCCCTCCTTTTGACGACTGCAAGGCACTATGGCTCTCTCAGATCGGTGGAGCATCGACCTGGGACACCTCAGCGGCTACAACCTTCCCATTGGCACCACTGGCAAGGCCTGTAACCAATTAGGGTTTAGGGTTTAGGGTTTAGCGTTTAGGGTTTAGGGTTTAGGGTTTAGGGTACTTGTAAGCCCCTTAAGTGCCCTAATATGGTTAGAAGTACAGTTGTAATTGGTTAATAAGTACCGTGAACCTCCAAGCTCCCCATCGGCACCACTGGCAAGGCCTGACTCAGGGTTGGTTAGGGGTTGTAGGGGTTTAGGGGGTTAGGGTTATGCGTATAAGCCTTAAAATCCCCTATAAGCCCCACCAACCTTGAATGCCCTACACCTACGCCTCGAAGACCCCACTCCTCGTAGCGCAAAGAATCGAGAAAGTTCTTGAGTCCACAGTCGAAGTTGCGAGTGCCTCGCTTGCCCCACCCCTCTCCCCTCGCCACCCCCACCCTGCCTCTTAGGGTTTAGGATTCAGGGGTTCAGGGTTCAGGGTCCACGAGCCTGACCAGACTGGCTGGTTGTCACTTACGCAGCACTTCAGTAAGGGGCAGAAACATCACACCCCTAAACCCGAAAACCCATACGAGACTGCTCGATGTCCGTAGGGGCAGGGGGGTTGGGGGGGTGGGTCGGCAGAATGCGGTGGGGCCTTGCCGCAGGCCTTTTGCCAGCACGTGTGGAAAGCCCTCCTGGCTGCATTGAAGGAGCGCCACATTGAGGTTCAGGGTTGGAGGTTTTGGGTTTCAGTAGGAGGAAAAGCAGGAGGAGGAGAAATTGTAATTGTGGTGGTGGTACGCTGTCCTTGCTTCTGAATCTTGACCGTGGTAGTCGCTGCTGTTGCTAGCAACAGTTTTCTGATTGCTGATGGTTGTCTGGGGTTCTAGTTTTTGTTGGATACCCGAAGGCTCATAAATACCGGGTTTAGAACTTCCCGTTCGATTGTTGGGTTTAGGGTTTCTCTCACTCTCTAAGTCAGTAGTCACTCATCTCACCAACAGCATTGATTAGTCAAGTTTATGTATACTCGTAAATTTCATTTGCTTAAGCAACCCTCAAAGACCCTAACACCCATTAGAATCCGGCCCTTCTGAACGCCTTTTGAAAAAGGACCTGGGCGACGAGTACTTTTGCGTTCTCTCCGTGGGCAAGCAGCCGCTTCTGCTTACTACGCCCAAAAGTTTGAGGGTCAAGGCTTCAGGGTCCCCGAAACCCTAAACCCTGAACCCTAAACCCTAAACCCCAAACCCTAAACCCTAAACCCTAAACCCTTAACCCTAAACCCTAAACCCTAAACCCTAAACCTGAACCCTTAAACCCTAAACCCACATATTAGCATTTAAGCGTCGGATTCCCTGGTTCTGGGAGGAGTACGTCTGCCTAAGCCGAGGGCCTAGACCCTGGGATCCCTGAGGTCTTTAAGGGTTTTAGGGCGAGTCTTGGCTTCCTACATCCATCACACCTCTCTCTCCCAAAAATCCCTAATTCCTAAACCCTCAACCCGACCCCCTCAGCTCTGATGGCATGGACGCCGATCCCTCCGAACCCCACACCTAGGGCCGAAATCCCAAGCCCTGTGGGGGGGAAAGCTAAAGCCTTACTAGACTGGCCCGAAGTATATGAAGGTCTAAAGCTTCAAAGACAGCCCGAGCACGCATAAACTTCGGGTTTAGGGCTTTTGGGGTTCAGGGATAAGCCCTCACGGCCCCTGAGGTTTAGGGTCCAGATTTTAAGACAAATTAGGGTATTGTAGGGTTTCAGAATATAAGGGTTTAGGTTGTTGTTGTTGGGTTTGTGCCTTTTTTGAAGCAACAACACTCAACCCTGAACCCTATAATATGTTGTTGGGGTCCCCCTTATACTAACAGTCCTTGTTAAGGATCATAGTACCCCTCGATTATAATGCCGATTAAGGACTGTTAGAGTATAAGGGGGAACATCCCAACAGAATAACCCTAAACCCTCAAGACCTGGCTGGTTTCCAGTAGGAAATGATGGAATTAGGACCCGATCTAATCCCTTAAAGCGTCTATGTAGTGCTCGAATTCCCGCATTCTCTACTAAGAACCAGGGGGGGGTAAGGGCAGCTGAACCCTAAACCCTAAACCCTAAACCCTAACCCCAAACCCACAGACCTGGAGCCGGTCAGAGGCCTGATGCACTCGACTTTTTGGGCAGCAGCGATGAAGAGATCTTCGACCAGGCATCGGGTGAGTTTTTGTTGAATGCTTTCCCTGAGCTAGGCTTTAGGGTTTAGGGTTTAGGGTTTAGGGATTGGGGTTTGGGGTTTAGGGTTTAGGGTTTAGGGTTTAGGGTTTGGGGTTTGGGGTTTGGGGTTTGGGGTTTGGGGTTTAAGAGGATCATACTCAGGAGTCTTTTTCGGAGGGTCTTAAGGGGCCTCCTAGGTTCGATTGACCTAGGTTGATGTTATTTGTTTACCCGCCATCGTCTCATTCTGAAGAAGAAGTAATTGGCTTTGAAAGGTAACCAATACAAAAAATGGGTGCCCTTATCATAGTATGGTGACTGGGGCACCAAGAACTGGTTTAAGCACTTCAGCATCACACTAAGCAGAGGTTCCACATTCAGTTCTTTGAACGGAAAGCCCTGAGAGGCCCCCAATAGGCACCAAAGGCAGCGCAAAGGCAGCCACAAATAGCACAGCAAGACACTCGGTTTAGGGTTTTAGGGTTTTGGGGTTTAGAGTTCAGGGTTTAGGGTTTAGGGTTTGGGGTTTTTTGAAGCATTCCACAACAATCCCCAAACATCACCCGACAAAGCTCTCAAAAAGCACCAATATCAACTCAGCTTGGAGGCCCCCAAGAAAGGGAGGGTTAGGGGTTAGGGTTCAGGGGTTTCGGGTTTCGGGTTTAGGTTGGCTCGAGTATATTTGAACGGGTACCCTTACTTTGGGAAATCCGCAAGAGAGAGCTTCGAAGGCCCGATGCTGCGCAAAAGCCACCCAACAGCAAAAGAACAATGAAGTCAAAGTTTCAAAAAGAAGTTCGAGAGAGAAACAAAACCCAAGCACCTCAAACCCTACACCTTAAATCCTCAGCCAAAAACCACGAAGCCCTAAGCTCTACATCGTAAAGCCTATACACCCCATGTAACTTCCCTAAACCCAAAATCCTAAACCCCAAGCCCCTAAGACCAAGACCCCGCTTGCTCGAGGTGCCTTCCAACGTGCTGATCCGGGGCTTCGTGCCGCAGGTGGGGAACTTCAAAAGCGGTTTGGGGGTTTAGGGTTTAGGGTTTAGGGTTTAGGGTTAGGGTGTAGGTTGGGATGTTCCCCCTTATACTAACAGTCCTTCGAATCATTATCGGGGGTATTCCAATCCCTACTAAGGACTGTTAGTATAGGGGGGAACTTAAACAGCGCTTGTAGGGTTCAAGGGATTCTGGGTTTCAGAGTTGCAGGTTCAGGGCTCGGGGTTTCAGGGATTAGGGCTTCAGAATTTCGGGTGTAGGTCAGTGTAGGGTTGCAGGGTTCAGGGTTTCATGATTCAGGGTTTGGGGCTTGAGGACATTGCGCAAGGGTCTCTGAGGCTTCAGGGTTCTGAGGTTTAGGGTTCTAGGGTTGAGGGTTTAGGGCTCTACCCTAAACCCTAAACCCGAAACCCTAAACCCTAAACCCTAAACCCTAAACCCTAAACCCTAAACCCTAAACCCTAAACCCTAAACCGCTCTGGGCTTTGAGGTGGAGATGCTAAACAACTACACCTCCGCGTTCATCTCTCACGTCGGCTTCAACAGCCTCCAGGAGCCGCAACGGCCGTTGATGCAAAGGGGAGATGGCCGCGCGCAAGCCTCTAAGAAAGGGTTTAGGGTTTAGGGCTTATAGGGTTAGGGTTTAGGGTTTAGGGTTTAGGGTTTAGGGTTTAGGGTTTAGGTTTTAGGGTAATTATAGGGTACGCTGTCAGAGTCTGGTGGTGTAGGATTTCTAAACGCGAAACCCACTTAAAGGATGCAGACATGGACGAAGGTGCAGGGAAAAGCAGGTTTCTGCAAGGGAAAGTCAGGGCATGTGATACCTCAAAAGGCCCAGTACCTGAGCCCAGTACCTGCCTGAGCCCAAGCCCCAAAACCTTATCAACCCTACAAACAGTGTAAAGCCCATATTTGTGGTACTTTACTGTAACTTTAGATCCTTACCTTTTTTGGGTTTATTGGGTTTCTTACTAAGGCAGCTAAAAGTTTAATTTTTAGCTACCCTCCTGAGTGCAGCCAAGATTGCAGGAGAGCCTGATGGCCGGCGTGCCGCTGGTGGCGATCCCCCAAGCCGTGGACCAGCCAGCGAATGCCCGCAAGGCAAAGGAACCGTAGTGGCCATTTAGGGTTTAGGGTTTAGGGCCAGCTCTCTGGACGTTGGTCCCTTTGAAGGATTGTTGTTGAAGGACGGAGCCTTAAACGGACATCCTCATATGGGGGGGGGGGAACGGTCTTCAGGGCATCTTGAGATACTTCGAGGATTTGAGGTTTAGGTGGTGTGGGGGTTGGGTGAACAAGCGCGATAGCAATGCTCCGAAAATCATACAAAAAATTACAGATGGTCGGGGGTTTGGCGGGTTTAGAGCTTCAAAACCCTAACCTAAACCCTAGACCCTAAACTCTTTGGGGCATGGAGCGATGTAGGTTTTGCAGTTTAGGGTATTAGGCTTTAGGGTCATTGCTTGGGCTCGTCACGTAGTGCACAAGGTAGCAAGTACCCCAGTGAAAGACGATGCGCAGACAGCAGCGGAAGGGGTTCAGGGTTAGGGTTTGGGGTTTAGGGTTCAGGGTTTAGGGTTTAGGGTTTAGGGTTTCGGATGACTTTTGCCGGGCACGCCTCCTGATGTCCTAAATCCTAAACTCTAAACCCTAAACCCTAAACTCGAAGTTGGGGCTTCACTGAAGCAGGCTTGGGTTTAGGTGTTTGTGGTTTAGGGTTTAGGTTTCAGGGGTTTATGGATTTAGGGGTTTAAGGCCTCCAAATCACTTACTGGCTCAAACCCCAACTCTTCAACTTTTCGGCTTCTTATAAGGTAGTCCATTCTGAAAGTTTAGGGTTTAGGGTTTAGGGTTTAGGGTTTAGGGTTTAGGATTTAGGGTTTAGGGTTTAGGGTTTAGGGTTTAGGGTTTAGGGTTTAGGGTTTAGGGTCTTTCCTTGGGTCTTGGGCCTCCAAATCAAGCCTGTGGCAACCTGAAGGTGCAAGAGCGTGGGTGGGGTCAAGCCTTCTTCAAGCCTATGGAAGCGTGGTGCGACAGAGTTGAATGCTAAACTCTAAGCCCTTAAACCCTACTTGGAGGTTATAAGTGCAGTTATAATTGGTTAGTAAGTACCATGAACCTC